ATCACATATATACGTTACATATCTTTGAGAAGCATTTTCATTTAAAATTTCTTTGTGTAATTTTGTATATTTTTCTTGCCATGATCCACAAGAATTATTTAGGCTGTCATCAGTATTTTTTTGTAATGTTTGTAAATTGACATACTCTTCATTTTGTTCACTCGAGAGTGACTCGATAATGTCAGTATGTGTGAAATGAGGTTTTGCGACAATATATTGATAGTTAGTATAATCAATTACATTGTCATCTTCATCCGGATCATCCAAATTTGAATTAACTACATGTGTGGTTTTATTCTTTTTTCCAAGTTTGATTGTCATATTTTTTGGTACTGATTCTATTGTTTGCTCATCAATAAACTCGGGATTGTTTTCTTCTATCACATTATCAATAACATCAGTAGGTGTGGGAATAATACTTTCATTATTAATTATTGTTTCTTCGATATTTATAAAATTGTTATCACTTTCAACAGGAAGTCTAACAGTTTCATCTTTATCATTATAAAAATCATTATTGGTATTATTGTTTAAATTATCATTGTCAATGTTTAAAGGTTGATAATCGACATTGTCCTCTTGGTTTTCTTCGACTAAATTAACAAACACCTCCTCTCCTGGAGCTTCTTCCCGAAAATCATCATGATCAATAATAAGGACCTTTTCTATGTCTTCATCGACAGGACCTATTCCACTTAGACTAGATAAAAATAATAAAAGTGCCCATAAAAAAATTATAAAGGAAATAATTTTCCGGGGATCTATTCGAGATGTTGAAGATGAATTATCAAAAGGTTTTCGTGGCTTTCTGACTGAAAAGGGATTATATGTTTTATGTTTTGAAGGTGTTAATGGTGGTGGTGTTGTGATGGTGGGGGTTTTTTCGTTAATGGTAGAAAGGTAAGGATCGATAATGTTTTGAGTATCAACTAGTAAGTTTTGTTGGAGATTGTATTGTCTTGTGTTGTTGTTGTTATCAAAAACACGTTGGTTATTCTCTGGTAAACTATTAATATTACTACCTGTACTTATACTTGTGGTACGGCGATGTGCCCTTTGTCCGGTAGTAGACATTTTATTTATTATTATTTATTAAGTTCTTTTGAATAATCATTTTTAATTAAAATTTATGCTACTCAAAATTTTATTCGAGTAAGGATCTTCGATGTTGTTTTGATGGCTTAGCCAAAACAATCTATAGGATATTCCTCGTAATATATGTGAAACGTTTTTTTCAAATAAAATAAAATTTTGTATATATATATATATATATAAAACATAGTCTCTATTTTTGTTATCCGGTAGTCATTGAAGAAAGACAAATGAAAAAATCTTCTGTAATTCGCGTGGTCTATAGACCTCCTAATTTTTGTGCAAATTTTAAAGTATATATTATTATTGTAGAACTCAAGAACTACTTTATATTTTGTGTAAATTTATTTGTTCTAGAATTCTATATATTCATTTTTAGTACTACGTTCACGAATTTTTGACCGCGAAAATCTCAACTAAATTTAGAATAAATACAAAAATCATATCTAAATTTGGAAGCATTTTGTAATTTCATAAATGTTTCAAATTATCATTACATTAATAAATTTTTTAATTTACACAAAATGTATATGCAAAATGTGAAGTGCAATTTTGGGAAATATCTTAATTCGTAATTCGTGACACAACTGCAAAATTTTGCCGATCATTAACATCTTTTTTGTGGCGTAATTTTAGGAATCTCACGCGACTCAAAACTTGATAAGAATTTACATGATACACACTGCTCAATGCTCAACTTTTCAATCATCCATGAAATTTCAAAAGTTTTTATTTTTGAAAAAAAGATTCCGGGGCTATTTTTATGTCAAAATTTATATAGTGATTTTTAGGCAAGAATCCAGTGATCCCTCCCTCCCTACATATAAAGGTAAAAAATACTTTATAAGAAAGTCTTTTTGAAAATTAGTATATGTATTAACAAGCACAATTACGCATAATTTTAAAAGGTAATTACTTTAGATGTAACAGTTAGGGGATTGGAAAGTTTTAATTAACAGTTTTGCAAAAATACAAGATTTTGAAAATTTTGGTTTAGTAACGCAGCAACAAGTGTCTATAGGTCACGTGAATTATTTGTATAATCATTATGTGATAAGTCAAATTAGATTACTTGCCTCATAATTTTTGGAGGAAAACATTTAAAAAGAGGCTGTAGATTTAATTCTTAAACCAAAATATATATTTTAATTTTTTTCGATTCATAAAAAATCTATCATTTCTGATCAAATTCTTAATAACCGTACACACATCCACTAATTATATGAAAAAATTTATAATTTCCCCCACAGAACATATCACTGCAGTTTCCATTATCCATCAGGTAATTAATGATACATGACGAAGCTTTTGACTTTAGTCATTGATGTAACTAAAGTATTGACTAAATGTAGTTTCTCACCAGTGCCATTTTGATAATTTGACTCCCTTGACGCAAGTAAAACCATTGACGTAATTGAAAACGATTGATGTAAGTAAATTGCTTGATACACTTGACACAAGCAGCAATAATAATAATGACGAAATAGGGATCAATAAATTATTATGACATTGTATGTATATTCTATCATGTATGCAATATTTTAATAAAATAAATTACTTCATGCCAGATGGTGCATTGACCAAACAGTTTAATAAATTACAACAAAAACATGTAAATAGACCTGCTACCCCCAAAAAACGGTGCATCAATTTGCTTTTTGCGCTGCATTCAAATTCAAGGTTCAGGACACGTAATGCCAAATGGCGTTTTATGTTACATTCAATGCGAGGTATCTATATGTTCGTTCTAAGTATCAACATTAGCCAGTCATATTATTATTATTTTTATTTTATTCGTTGTGTTGAGCAAAAAATTTATTTGCTTATTTAAAAAAATTACATATACAAAAGGAAATTGTTCATGAATTTAACAAAGATCATTTGCAAAGAAGAACCATTATGTGAATCAAAAGTTATTTACGAATTTCGATTGTTAGAAAAATCAACCAAGTTTTTTCTTAATTAAAAAAAAAAGATCCTTTGTCCTGATCCTTCTTCATCTTTATTTATCCCAAATTAAAGGTTAATTGGATCAATTGGGGTTTTTTTTAAGTTTATCGCCATAAAAGAATAAGTTACATGCAAATATCAAAAGTTACTTGCAGATTTTAATTGTTAAAAAAGATCCTTTGCAAAGGGATTTTATTTGTTTTCTGCGAAAGGAAATTAAAAATAAAATTTTTTCTATCCATATCATCCACTATTTCTCAAATGGTCAAAATCAAAAAAAATTTGTACATATTTGTCTGTTTATCGATCATTGAATTAACCGATAATAACAATAACAACAAAATAAAATTAAAATGTAAAAAAGTGTTTTTGAATCCCGGTCCCGTGACCAACACGTTTTGTGACAAATCTTTGACGACCTGGGATCTGAGGTAAAGGCTCCAAGGTAAGGCTATAAGTTTTTGGTCATTTCAAACGGTCTGAAACGGCGGAGAAAGACGAAGACCTAACTGTAGACAACGATAGACACCACGCAAAAAATATCTAAAGCGAAACACGATTTCCTTTCAGTCAAGTAACTGCTCCGTTCGAACCTGACGTTTTGAAGAAAAATAGATGAGTTTTTCGGTTTCCAAATAAACAGAAATGGGAAAACGAAAATATTTTTGTTCGAATTTCAATTTTAATGAATTAGTTCAAATCAGCCTGCGACACATTGCTAAACTCGATTACTTTATCTTCGCAAATCATTTCAAGTCAACGTAGCAAAAAAAAGAAGAAAATGACTATTATCCTTTAATTTTGATTTCATCCTTCCCAACAATTCAATTTACTAAAGTTGAGCAACCAAGTAAAATGAAAATATTACACAATATAAAAATCTACGCAAAAATTGCGCCATTTAGAAAGGAACTGTAACACGTCAACCTTTCTTATTATGTTAAGGGGAAAATTAATGTACCGTTGTTCTCAAACAAAAAAAAAATTTCCAAGTTATATTTTTATATAATGTCATACAATAAACTATTGTCATCGTTATCACCGGAAAGAAAGAAATTTATATTGAAAATTTATACTGAAATGTTTAATAATGCAGCAGTTAATTCTGATAGAGAAAGTAGAAAAGATTATTATGTTTCATTGGTCAAGAAAAACAAGGAGCTTTCTGAAAATGAAAAAGATTATTGTAAAGAAAG